AAAAAAAAAAAAAAAAGTCAAAACAGGTTATAATTCATAAAGGATTTAGGTTACATTCACCTTTGTATTCCTACTATCTAACCTGCTTGGCACATAGAAGGTGCTTAATAGGTATTTATTAATTTGGGGGCATCAGTTATGATACTTTTGCATTAGACTGTTTGAGAGGTAATGAAGACCCAAACTAGAGTGTGTGAGAAGCAGGATTGATATAATAGGTTTAGTGGATGTAGTCACTGACTAACTGAGGTATATAAAGGCAAGGTAGAAATCAAAATGCCCTAGACCTTTAACTTTGGGTTATTAGAGGGATAACATTTTATTCATTAACTCAGTAAATATTTGTTGGGTGCCAACTACATACCAAAGAGTTCTCAGAGCTAGGGATATAGCAATGAATAAAATATATTTTAAAAATCTCTGCCTTTGTGGCAATCTAATAAGGGAGAAACAGTAAGAAAATAAATAAAATACATAGTAAGCCTGAAGGTGCTAAGTGCTATAGGGGAAAAAACAAAACAGGGAAGAGTATTGGGAGTGTCAGGGGTAGGAACAGAGGTTGAACTGCTACATATAGTCAGGGAATGCCTCCCTGAAGCAGTTGAGGGAATAAGCCCTACAGCTCTTTAAAGGAAGAGTGTTTTGAGGGAACAGCAAAAGTACAGAGGTATTTAAGTGGCATGTCATGGGAACAGGAAGGAGGCCAGTGTGGTTGGAGCAAAGTGTTAGTAGCAGGAGATGAAGGGAGTAGATGGTATAAGTAATCCCAACACTGGGAGGCTGAGGCCTGCAGATCACTTGAGCCTGACAAATCATACAAGCTAGTTCGGCTCTCTTACTCTCTCACATGCACTCTCTTGCCATGTGATATGCCTTCTGCCATGTTATGACACAAGAAGAAGGCCCTTACCAAATGCAGCCCCTTGATCTAGGATTTCCTAGCCCCTAGAACTGTGAGCAAATAAACTTTTATTGTTTACAAATTACCCAGTCTGTAGTATTCTGTTAAAGCAGCATAAAACAAAGACAGTACTGCTCAGTTGTTTATTTGAAAAGTCAGTAATGAATTGGAAATGACTGAAGAATTAGCCTCTGTGAATAGTCTACATGATTCAACTACAGGCAAGAATATTTCCAAAGAAGGTAGAAACACTGATTCTGTACAACCTGAATCTGCTAAGATGTGTTATAGCTGATGATGGTGAGAAATACAGGTGGAGGAGGAAAAGGCGTAGTTGGACAAAATTTACAAAGCTTTTGAAAATACAGTTTTTTGTCTATGGTTATTCATTGTGTTATTCATCAGCAGGTATATTGCAGAAAATATTTGGATTAATCATGTTATAGAACTAGTAGTGTCAAGGTAAACTTCATTCTTGTGACATAATCATTGTCAGTTTTATGAATTTTTGTCAAATAGAGAAGCTGAAGATCCCAACTTGCCTACAGCATAGCAATCAATGGCCAAACAAGGCTTAAGTTTTATTTTATTTTATTGTTTTGACATTGAGACCAAGAATGAAATTTTTCTTGACTCCTTTCAGCTATTGTTATTAAGCCCATTTGGCTTTGGAAATCACCTTTTGCTGCAGACTTGGTTATATTTTGAGTTCTTTTTGGAGACAGTGTCTTGCTTTGTCAGCCAGGCTGGAGTGCAGTAGCATGATCATAGCTCACTGCAACCTTACACTCTTTGGCTCGCGTGATCCTAACGTGATACTCTTTGGCTCATGTAGCTAGTACTAGGCTAGACACGTACACCACCATGCCTGGCTAATTTATTTTTTGTGTGTGTGGAGACGAGATCTGTGTTGCGCAGGCTGGTCTTGAACTCCTGGCCTCAAGAAATCCTGCCTCACCCTCCCACAGTCCTGAGTGAGATCACAGGCATGAACCACCATGTCCAGCCTAGACTTAGTTATATTTTTTGTTGTTGTTTTCTTTTTGAGACAGGGCCTCTCTCAGTTGCCCAAGCTGGAGTGCAGTAGTACAGTCTTGGCTAACTACTGCAACCTTTGCCTTCCAGGTTCAGGTGATTCACGCTGAGACTACAGGCTCATGCCACCACACCTGGCTAATTTTTTTTTTTTTTTAAAGAAATGAGGTCTCCTTATGTCGCCCAGGTTGGTCTTGAACTCCTGGACTCATGCAGTTCCCCCTGCCTCAGCCTCTCAAAGTACTGGAATTATAAGCATGAGCCATCATGCCTAAGCTGACTTGTTTATTAAATATTTAATTAATTATTAAAATTATTTATTAAATAATTTATTAATTAAATAATTCAAGCTAAAACCACAAAGCAGAACAGTGCTTATACGCAAAACTTACGCTGGAGTAAAGTTTTGACAACACCTAACATTGTTTAACTCATAAGTAATGTCACACTGCTTTATATACCTCAGTCTGTCAGAAGTTAACACAAGAAGCAGTATCTCCATTATCACACAAGATGGCAGCAGATACATTTTCCAAGCTTAAGCTGTTAATTCAATGCCGGAGAATTTTTTGGACCTTCATTTAAGCACAAAGGAAATTTCCATATTTCAAAATCCATTCAGCTATGCAATTGAGAAACTTCCACTTACTCTTCATTTGGAAGTGATTAATCTGCAATGTAATAACATGGTAAAAGGAGATATCAAGAGAAGAATTTAACAGAATTCTGATCTATTACTCTCCCAACTCATAAATATGCTCAATTAAAACCACATACTCATAGACTAACATTAGGATTTGACGTTACTTGTCTGTATGAAAAGGCATTTTCAAAAATGCAGTGCCTCAAATCTTACTACGAATTGGAATTAGCAAATGAATATTTATAATTGAATTCCAATTAAGTGAAATATCCTTCCCCCAAAATATTTCATTCTAAGGAACTTCCAAATAGATCTGTATTACAAAAAAGGAACATGGTTATTACATTTTGAATTTTGTCAATTTATGAAAATTTCGTTTTCTCTCCTTATGTAAGTAATTGCACAATATCCTGTTTTGCCTCTTGGCCTGCAAAGTCTAAAATATTTATCTGATCCTTTACAGAAAAAATTGCCAACCCCCTGGCTCATGGTAAGGGAACTGGAAGCTGGAGGTTAAATAAAGGAAAAAGTTTACAATAGGTATCTTTAGTGGATGTATTGTTGATTTAACATAGTATTCATTATAGATTTTACTTGGGAGGGGAGGACTTTCTCTTGGCAAATTTATGCAGTTTGCAAACCATAGCCAGTGAAATATCTGCATTTTTCTTTTGTAAATTTTATTAACCTAATTTTTATTTGGCTTGTAGACAGCATCAACTGGGCAAGTGGTGAGGATGACCATGTAGTTGCCAGAGCAGAATATGATTTTACTGCCGTATCTGAAGAAGAAATTTCTTTCCGGGCTGGTGATATGCTAAACTTAGCTCTCAAAGGTAACAAATTATGAATAAGTTGAAATTATCTGTAAATTTTTAATATTTATAAATGCAGTATTAAAAACTATGACAAAGGATCTTGTTCATTATTAGTTAACTTAGAGATAGTTACTAGAACTTCTTTTTCATGTCAATTTAGACCTTCCAAATCTGGAGGAGTCAGGAAGAAATGCCCCAGCAGAGTTATTCCAATAGTATTTCACTGAGATAAGGAAAGGCTTTGTTTATATAGGTTTTTCTAAATTCCAAATACTTGAATTTCAAACTGTTAATCCCCACACAAAAATGTGATGTCAGTAACTAAATGTAACAAATGTAATTAAGCAAATAAATTATCTGGCATCATCTAAGCATTGCTGTCAGTCCTTGATTACTGGGACTGGTGTTGCTTCTTTATTACTTCAGTAGTGTTTACGTCAGAAATTTCATCATGAGTATTTTAGGAAATATCATGAAGTATTATAAACCCCAGCAAGAAATTTATACACATCTCAGGTTGATTTCTGGACTAAGTCACTGATAGTTTTTAATGACTCCAGGAAAATGAACTTCCCTTCACCTTTCCTCAGTAATAATTATCAGGATATTCTTGAGTTTATTTTTTTTTTTAATTTATGTGTTCGTGGGGATTCAGGTTTATTGCAAAAAAGTGACGTTTTGTTGATGAAGTTACTAATAACAATAACAGGTTATTTATTGAGTACTATGTTCAAGGTACTGTATTTTATGTATTTCATTTAACCCTTACAATAATACTGTGAAGTGGGACTATTATTATCCTGTCCTTGTTTTACACTTGAAGAAACTGAGACTCAGATTAAGTAAATTATCCAGTATCACAAAGATAAGGTGCAATACAACTGGACTATGAATCTAGGTTTGTCTAACTTGAGACCTTGTGCTTTTAACAACTCTGGCTGTTTTTTTCATGGAAGGACCTATTAATGGAAACTTCAGCCTTTTATTGGCTTTAGTCAGTCTACACAGGAAAGAAATACCTTCAGTATTCAAATCATTAGTATGTAAATAATTGAAGAATTTGGATCAGATTACTAAATCTTAGCCTCATCCCTTTTACATAAAACCTAGACTTAAGTGAGGTGCAGTGGAGTGGTGTGCACCCATACTCACACCTACTCGAGAGGCTAAGGCAGGAGGATCCCTTGAGACCAGGAGTTTGAGGCTGTATTGCACTGTAATCACACCTGTGGAATAGCACCACTACACCCCAGCCTGGGCAACATAGCATGACCTTGTCTCAAGAAAAAAATAACAAACAGCTAGACTTTTAGGTATTCTGTTTGTATTTTTCTTATAGGAAAAATAGCAATTTACTATTTTGGAGTTCAAATGAATGATTTTTTTTTTTTTTGAAGATTTATTGTTAGAGATAGGAGCAACACAAACAATTGTAATTAAATAGAGGTCATGTGGTTTCTTTCAGTTACATAATACTTCAGAAAAATTTTATATTTTATTCTTGAATGAATAGTGCACCTTAACACTAGCTTGCTTCTTGACTTTCCTCCATTGCTCAAGAAAAGTATGTTTGGACATTTGGAACAAAATCATTCATAGACATGGTAAATTTGATTTTTTTTTCCTGTTATTATAGAGCATTAAACATTAAAAAGTCTTATATTGTGCCTAAATTATAATGTTGAACTAAAATTGTAAGTTAAGCAGCTTTTTAAAGATGTAGATAAAATAGATAGGAAAATACTATAGAAAATTGAATAAATTAAATAATCTTTCTTTAAGCTTAGAGTATAACCTTTATCATATGGCTAGAAATAACTGGGATCTTCAATTTTTTTGTCCGTCTTGGATTGAAATTAACATTTACTGTCTTCAGGATTGTTTACCACAATCATATGAAATGAATTTTACATTTTTGCCAAAAGAAAACTGAGTGCATAAAGGTATATCTTTTCTATACATAATTTACCTGGTTGAGAAGGAATGAGATATTTGTTTCTTAGACTCCAATTTAAAGTATGAAAGTCAATGATGTTTTCAGTTTTGAGAGAACTAAATCTCCTTACCCTGTGAATGGATTAACTGATACAAACTTTATGTTCTTCAAGGGAGAAGGAAATATTTAGTAAGTATAAAATGAAAATATAGGAATGGACCCTAGAACTGTTAAGCCTACTCAGCATTTGATTTTGAATATATACCCATGTACTATTTGTTATCTATTATATAAACATAATGTATTTTCCTGAATATGATATTTTACCATTAATATTCTGTTGGACCTCCAAAGTATGTTGTAATTACAAGACTGTCTTTTTTTCCATCAGAACAACAACCCAAAGTGCGAGGTTGGCTTCTGGCTAGCCTTGATGGCCAAACAACAGGACTTATACCAGCGAATTATGTCAAAATTCTTGGTAAAAGAAGAGGTAGGAAAACGGTGGAATCAAGTAAAATTTCCAAGCAGCAACAATCTTTTAACAACCCAACACTAACTAAAGGAACCACAGTTGCTGATTCTTTGGATGAACAGGAAGCTGCCTTTGAATCTGTTTTTGTTGAAACTAATAAGGTTCCAGTTGCACCTGATTCCACTGGGAAAGGTGGAGAAAAACAAGATCTTTGATATCTTTCATGTTTGCTTACAGTTGAACAATACCTTAGAGTACTTTTTAAAATTATTTCTCACAAAGAAATGAATCTACAATCCAATGAAAACATTTGTTATTGGCTATCCCAGGTGTTTTGCTGCTACAAATTATTAAAGTTATACACTAGTATGTTGGTAACGTTTTATTATACACGTTATTGGACCATGAGGACATTTGTTTCACCTAGATTTTAAGATTATGGAGACTGCTGTTATTTTCATCTTATTTAACTCTCTAGGTTTATTGGAAGAGTAAGATTGATGAACTGTAGCGTGCACAATTTGGTATAATAGGGATCATTAATACTTTTTAAAGTTCTACATTAATTGATTTGGAATCCTTAGAAATGGGGTGATGACCTAAGAGTATGAGAACAGGCAAAAAGGTTAATTTTTTTTTTTTTTTTTTACAACTTTTTTTTTTTTTTTAAGTAATCTCAGTAATAAAATTTTCTGATCTATATTATATCCAGTGTTGGGTTTATGTTTTCACCCACAAACAACTGACACTATTATCTTTTACTGTATTTTTAAAAATTTAAAAGGTCACCCAGAAGCATTCTAAAGGAGATGGTTCTAGAATGATAGAGTATAATAGTTTTCCCTCCTAGTAAAAAGTCTGAAATTTATCTTTCTTATAAATTCTGCCATTTCTTCTAAGGATCACTTAACTCTTTATCTCTTTTTTTTTTTTTTTTTTTTTTTTTTTTTTTTTTTTTTTTTTTTTTTTTTTTTTTTTTTTTTTTTTTTTT